CAGTTGCCGACAATCCGCCTCCTCTACGCAACATTCACCCAACCCAACCTAAATCCCAACTGCTCCAACACCCAACCGCAACGAACCTCCTGTGAACTCAGACATACGACCCAAAGCGCGGTGCGCCTGCCTACTCCAGCAATGCCACCCAACACCACACACCAACTGCGCAACACATGCAGTGCCTCAAACTACAACACTACAGCTGTCCACGCAGGCCTCTCCCCTCCCTCCTCTGCTAACACCCTCAGAAACGAACTTCCTGTCAGCCAAGTCGCCACAATCCAAGCATGTCGCTCTACACACTTCGCCATGCACAGCCGCATCCGCATCCCCTCTTCCCAACACCGCCCCAATACGACACCACCACCCAACAACTAGTTCTACTTCACCTATCTAACGAACTTCTTGCGCATTCAGTTCGCAGCACCAACAGCCACACTCCCGCCTCCCACACCCTCACGCCGGTCCACACTACTCAACAAAACAAACCCATCGCCGCCTCCCTCGCCCTCACACCACTCCCGCCTACACCTCCCTCGACCCTCGCACAACAAAACTCACCTTTCCACGCACGCCACAAACGTCCCGTAAACGCACGTCCACGACAACCCACTCTATCCCTGCCCAAACTCCCATCCTTCTCCACATCCAACAACGCCCAACCCTACATTCTAACGAACTCTCACCGCATCGTCCCCCACAGCGCACACCTCAATTCACGCCACCAACCTCCTCTACATTTCCACACGCAATAACATCCTCGCAATCTGCGCAAACTGCTGTCCCTTCGCGTCTTCAACGATGCACTCCCATCGCCTACAACCGTCACTCACAGTCTAAACCAAGAACGCCCGCAGCTCACACACGCCACAAACGTCCCCCCCACTCCTGCCTGCAACAGTCCGCTTCAATGCTCCTCATACTGACCTCGTCATAAGTAATCAGCCGTTCACCCAAAGCGCCCATGCTCCCCTCCCACTTCCCTCTCCCACACCAGTTGCCGATAATCCGCCTCCTCTATGCAACATTCACCCAACCCAACCTAAATCCCAACTGCTCCAACACCCAACCGCAACGAACCTCCTGTGAACTCAGACATACGACCCAAAGCGCGGTGCGCCTGCCTACTCCAGCAATGCCACCCAACACCACACACCAACTGCGCAACACATGCAGTGCCTCAAACTACAACACTACAGCTGTCCACGCAGGCCTCTCCCCTCCCTCCTCTGCTAACACCCTCAGAAACGAACTTCCTGTCAGCCAAGTCGCCACAATCCAAGCATGTCGCTCTACGCACTTCACCACGCACAGCCGCATCCGCATCCCCTCTTCCCAACACCGCCCCAATACGACACCACCACCCAGCAACTAGTTCTGCTTCACCCATCTAACGAACTTCTTGCGCATTCAGTTCGCAGCACCAACAGCCACACTCCCGCCTCCCACACCCTCACGCCGTTCCACACTACTCAACAAAACAAACCCATCGCCGCCTCCCTCGCCCTCACACCACTCCCGCCTACACCTCCCTCGACCCTCGCATAACAAAACTCACCTTTCCACGCACGCCACAAACGTCCCGTAAACGCACGTCCACGACAACCCACTCTAACCCAGCCCAAACTCCCATCCTTCTCCACATCCAACAACGCCCAACCCTACATTCTACCAAACTCTCACCGCATCGTCCCCCACAGCGCACAACTCAATTCACGCCACCAACCTCCTCTACATTTCCACACGCAATAACCCCCTCGCAATGTGCAGACACTGCTGTCCCTTCACGTCTTCAACGACGCACTCCCATCGTCTACAACCGTCACTCACAGTCTAAACCAAGAACGCTCGCAGCTCACACACGCCACAAACATCCTGCGCACTCCCTCCTGCAACAGTCCACTTCAATTCTCCTCATGCTGACCTCGTCGAGACTATTCGCCCACCCACCCAAAGCGCCCATGCTCCCCTCCCACTTCCCTCTCCCACACCAGTTGCCGACAATCCGCCTCCTCTACGCAACATTCACCCAACCCAACCTAAATCCCAACTGCTCCAACACCCAACCGCAACGAACCTCCTGTGAACTCAGACATACGACCCAAAGCGCGGTGCGCCTGCCTACTCCAGCAATGCCACCCAACACCACACACCAACTGCGCAACACATGCAGTGCCTCAAACTACAACACTACAGCTGTCCACGCAGGCCTCTCCCCTCCCTCCTCTGCTAACACCCTCAGAAACGAACTTCCTGTCAGCCAAGTCGCCACAATCCACGCTTGTCGTTCTACACACTTCACCATGCACAGCCGCATCCGCATCCCCTCTTCCCAACACCGCCCCAATACGACACCACCACCCAACAACTAGTTCTGCTTCACCCATCTAACGAACTTCTTGCGCATTCAGTTCGCAGCACCAACAGCCACACTCCCGCCTCCCACGCCCTCACGCCGTTCCACACTACTCAACAAAACAAACCCATCGCCGCCTCCCTCGCCCTCACACCACTCCCGCCTACACCTCCCTCGACCCTCGCATAACAAAACTCACCTTTCCACGTACGCCGCAAACGTCCTCTAAACTCACGTCCACGACAACCCACTCTAACCCTGCCCAAACTCGCATCCTTCTCCACATCCAACAACGCCCAACCCTACATTCTACCAAACTCTCACCGCATCGTCCCCCACAGCGCACAACTCAATTCACGCCACCAACCTCCTCTACATTTCCACACGCAACAACCCCCTCGCAATGTGCAGACTCTGCTGTCCCTTCACGTCTTCAACGACGCACTCCCATCGTCTACAACCGTCACTCACAGTCTAAACCAAGAACGCTCGCAGCTCACACACGCCACAAACATCCTGCGCACTCCCTCCTGCAACAGTCCACTTCAATTCTCCTCATGCTGACCTCGTCGAGACTATTCGCCCACCCACCCAAAGCGCCCATGCTCCCCTCCCACTTCCCTCTCCCACACCAGTTGCCGATAATCCGCCTCCTCTATGCAACATTCACCCAACCCAACCTAAATCCCAACTGCTCCAACGCCCAACCGCAACGAACCTCCTGTGAACTCAGACATACGACCCAAAGCGCGGTGCGCCTGCCTACTCCAGCAATGCCACCCAACACCACACACCAACTGCGCAACACATGCAGTGCCTCAAACTACAACACTACAGCTGTCCACGCAGGCCTCTCCCCTCCCTCCTCTGCTAACACCCTCAGAAACGAACTTCCTGTCAGCCAAGTCGCCACAATCCACGCTTGTCGCTCTACACACTTCACCATGCACAGCCGCATCCGCATCCCCTCTTCCCAACACCGCCCCAATACGACACCACCACCCAACAACTAGTTCTGCTTCACCCATCTAACGAACTTCCTGCGCATTCAGTTCGCAGCACCAACAGCCACACTCCCGCCTCCCACGCCCTCACGCCGTTCCACACTACTCAACAAAACAAACCCATCGCCGCCTCCCTCGCCCTCACACCACTCCCGCCTACACCTCCCTCGACCCTCGCATAACAAAACTCACCTTTCCACGCACGCCACAAACGTCCCGTAAACGCACGTCCACGACAACCCACTCTAACCCAGCCCAAACTCCCATCCTTCTCCACATCCAACAACGCCCAACCCTACATTCTACCAAACTCTCACCGCATCGTCCCCCACAGCGCACAACTCAATTCACGCCACCAACCTCCTCTACATTTCCACACGCAATAACCCCCTCGCAATGTGCAGACACTGCTGTCCCTTCGCGTCTTCAACGACGCACTCCCATCGCCTACAACCGTCACTCACAGTCTAAACCAAGAACGCTCGCAGCTCACACACGCCGCAAACATCCTGCGCACTCCCTCCTGCAACAGTCCACTTCAATTCTCTTCATGCTGACCTCATCGAGACTATTCGCCCACCCACCCAAAGCGCCCATGCTCCCCTCCCACTTCCCTCTCCCACACCAGTTGCCGATAATCCGCCTCCTCTATGCAACATTCACCCAACCCAACCTAAATCCCAACTGCTCCAACGCCCAACCGCAACGAACCTCCTGTGAACTCAGACATACGACCCAAAGCGCGGTGCGCCTGCCTACTCCAGCAATGCCACCCAACACCACACACCAACTGCGCAGCACATGCAGTGCCTCAAACTACAACACTACAGCTGTCCACGCAGGCCTCTCCCCTCCCTCCTCTGCTAACACCCTCAGAAACGAACTTCCTGTCAGCCAAGTCGCCACAATCCACGCTTGTCGCTCTACACACTTCGCCATGCACAGCCGCATCCG